TGAAGAAGAAATGTGAATGGAGGGAGAGAGAGAGGGGAGGGGGGGAATTAAAATATTAGGTTGAAGAAAATGGGAGGAAATAAATGGTGCCAGAATGACAGATAACAACAAATAGATCAATCATGTGAAAAAAAAAATAAGATTTTGGAAAAAGAATCAAAGAACAGCACAGAGAAATCTGGGTTAATTAGACCGTTTGATCTAAATAAATTTGTGGATTTTTAAAAGTTTGGTGGTCGTCTCTATCCTTTGAATATAATGTGTTGTATGGTAAGGGGAAGGATAACAAATAATATGTGATGTGAGGGCAATTCTACACGTCACAATAATTCAATACATATTAATAGTTTGCCTTAAAAATTTGATCAACTTTAAATTTAAATCAYTATGGGTGATTTATTTGTCCAAAAAAATTATTATAAATTAAGAGAAAATGAGTTCAAACTTCATGATAGTCACCTACTATATAGATTAATTACTATGTGTTGTGGTTAGACAGTTATTCCGCAAAATTAGTAATGGTGTGCGTAAGTTGGTTCAGACACTCAAAAATATAAAAACTTATATATGACTAGCTTTAGACTGATTCTACTTTTCAATGAAAATAATATTTTAAATTAAAGTAAAATATCATATCACGGAATATATTAGTCATGTCTACATATTATTTGTCACGTTGGATTTTCATTAATCCTTGTTAATGATATAGTCATCCAATAAGGTTTAAAAATTAAAATTATAGTTAAAGCATGGAGACTAAGACAGGTAATTTAACTTCACATATTCTCCTACAAAATGTATAGTTGAGTAGGAAAATATTGATATAATTAAATATAATATACATGTTCTTTTCGACATAGATTCATGTTTTTTTCTTTTTAACAATTGTGAWGATAAAGATGAATATATACTTTTGAGATGGTAATAGATGTCCAATCCACTTGTATTATGTTGTAAGTAGAATTAAGATTAAGTTTTTAAACTTGAAAATTAACCAAAAACTTCATCCACAGGAACATCAAAGAAATTTGGCGGCAATTTTAAAAGATTGGTKGTAAAGAAAAATTAAAAAAAGGAATGATTTTCCAATAATAGCACATTTGACATAAATAATTACAAATTTTTCGCATTATAAAATTTATTTAAAAAATAATACAAATTTAAGAACTTGTGTGGTAGTGATGTACTTAAACTGAATTGATATTAAAAAAAATTGTATATTAGTGATAAATATATCAATTATCTACTTTATTAACGATATACTTTGATGAACAACGAGCATCTAGTCAAAAAATTGGATCCGATCAAGATTGATGAACAAAAAGAGCCACGATTTTGAGGGACACGATAGGAATCCCATTGAAAARATAAGTGATTTAATAAGGATTTTTAATAGACATGAACTACTCTTTTCATTGCTAATTAATAACTATTATTTTACTTTACATCGATACACTTTTATCACATAAATACCTTATAATGATGTAAAATGTAATATATAAATAATATTACTGGCAAGTTTGTAAACATGAAAACAAGTTATGCCACCCTTATAATATTTATTTTTTAGGTTTGATGAAAAGAAGAAGGGTAATTTTGGTTGACTTTGGAAGAAGTAAAAAGCTAGAAGTTTGTGCATTGATATCGATACCAAGGAAAGTCTTTTAACTTGGTTTCCAAATACAAAAAATGTGTTGTCTAAAGACAAACAAATCCTTCATTTGATTTGGGGAAATGTGAAACCATGTCCTTTTCCTATTATTTTAACCTCCCCTCCCCTGTCACCTTCTTCTAAGACAGCCCAATTTTGGGATAAAATATTTCTTAGGGCTGAAAAGATACAAAGTGGGCTGCTTGAGAAAGCCACTATTTGTATTTTCATTTTTATTTTTTCTCGTAATGGATAAATAAAGCGAAAAATTTGAATTCATCATTTTTTKATTAGAGATAGATGTCAGTTACTATGGATTAAATTAATGATACTACTATTTGTTTCTACGTATTGTTTGGTTGATTTTGATAAGAAAAATATTCATCTACTTATTCTTATTACTTATCTATCATTGACTACCATTGAACTTTTGACAGGGAGAAGAGATCTATCATTGACTACCATTGAACTTTTGACAGGGAGAAGAGAGTAAGGTAGAAAAAAAATATATTATTTGTTATTTTTCAAAAATTAAGAAGATGTAAATTTTTATTGGTTACTATTCAATACCTATCTTTTATTAACCATCATTCAATTTTTGACAATTAAGAGAGAGAAATGCATGAATGAGATATTTTTTCTATTTTTCAAGAGATTAACAAACGGTCAAAATTTTATTGGTGGTAAAAAAATGGGCATTGACTAATAAACCTTCAAGTATTGTTCTTTTGATAGTAGCTTTAGGCGGGTGGGATATGAAACTTACAATCTTACGGAAAGTAACAAGTATTAATGTTCTAAATTATGCTYGAATTAATCAGTGTGTATTTATGTTAGAGAGACTCACTTTTGACCTAAATTTTAGGTTCGACTCGCATGAGATTAAAGAGCTGTCAAAATTTTATTGGTGGTAAAAAATGGATGTTAGACTAATAAACATTTAAGTATTGTTCTTTTCGTAGTAACTTTACGTGGGTGGGTGTGTGTGTTTTCTTTTTTTTCAACATATGCAGGTGGGATATCGAACTTAAATCTTATAGAAAGTAATAAGTATTTATATACTAAATTATGCTCGAATTAACTCGTATGTATTTGTGTTGGGTGACTCACTTTTGAAGCAAATTTTAGTTTAGAATATAATATCATAATTTRCTTTCTATATTTTTGTGTCTTTACCAATTTGACATTTTAAAAGGGTCCAATTTTGTTTCTATGCTTTAATTTACTCGTTTCTTGGTGATTTTTTTTAATACAACACCATATTGAATATAAATTTGAATTCACGACGTTTTAATCGGAGATAATTACCTTAATTGGTTGGTTCTTCGTGACCGTTGTTATTAATAAATGATGTTAAATATAAAGAAAAATTGAGGTSGGTGTGGGTCTTACTTTGACATTGACGTGTGGTTAATAATTTTTTATTAAATTATAAATTTAGTTTAATGTATTTTTTTCTCTACTTAATTTATATTCTTTTCATAAATTTCAATTATCTTCTTGAATTTTGAATTCTACTATTTTTAGTCCTTTGCTTACCTAGTTTGATATATCAAATGATCAACTCGACGAAAATGATAATAAGATTTAAAATATTTTTTTAATTATATTTAAATACTTATTTTGGTCCTTACACTTTTTAACTATTTTGGTAGTGTCCCTATAACATTTAATTATTTTGTTATTGTCCCTAACTTTCCATGTTTCATTTTTAATGCATTTATCTTTCACTTTAGTTCATTTTAATCCCTATACTTTTAACATTTTTTTAAAAAAAGTGATCAATTTTATTGCATTAACACAATTTTCATCCCTAATAGAAATATTTAATACAAATAAAAAAAACGTTGAGAGGTTATGGAGGTTTTTACTTATTTTTTTGAGTACAACAAGTGGAGGTAGGAATTTGAAATCATGATCTCTTAGTCATAGATAGTGTCAATTACCACTGAACTTAGTTCATGTTGACCAAAGAGTTGTTGAATGGGAGGAAAGTGTGGCAGAAAATGGACCGTTAATTTTTTCAAGAAACAAAAACGTTAGAGATGTCTCTCTCTCATCTTTGTTGTTACAAGTTTATCTTTGTCTCAGCATGAAAAAGAAGGAATCCATTGGAAGGCATGGCTTTGTTTGGTCTATTTTGGATTCTCTCTTCTATCATTTTCCCTTTGTGTTTTTATTATTACATTAAAAAACCACTTTATATTTTTAAATTTGTTAAGGTTGTTCACGAATTGATTGTGTCTTGTAATCCTATGGCTATACTTACAACTCTTTCA